TAGTCCACCGATAAAACCGGACGCAGCATGCATATGGTTTCATTCCCTTCAGACCGGGGAAGGGTTTCTGGGTGCGTCTCCCTCTCAAGAGTGGATGTGAATGTGTTTATTATACACACATACACAAAACAAAGAAAAAAAATGTTGATTGCTTGTTTGCTTGGCAGTGGGAGACATTTTGAAGATATTTTTCTGCCTCAGAGACTCTTAATGTTTTCTTGACTTTTATTCAGAGATTATTGTGGAGACTGAGTGGAATAAGTTGACATATAGCACAAGCACACATCATCGCAGGAAAGGTTTTGCAACAATTTCCATTATTTAGTCAGAGAAAAAAAAATCTGACAAAGTTTTACAAAAATTGAATCTAGCGATTGTTCATTTATTTGTGGTATTATTTAGTAGCTATAAATGAATGTTTCTGTAAACGACACTCAAACAATTTATATGTGAACATTTTCAGTCTTACGTTATATCTCTTTCAAACTTCCAAGATAATGTCGTCCAATTTATCACAATTAAATCACAATCAGAGTGAGTTCACGAACAAATGAAAACTGTGTTTTTCCACAACCGTTTTTAGAAATGGCTGCCACTATATCACTGAAGTCATTTTCGTTTTAATTTTGCTACCACATTCTCCAGGCATCCGACCAACAAGCTGACAGAAATAAAGACACTAAAAAGAAAGCAGAACAAATACCAGAGTATTAACCACCGATCAGAAGGGATTCGGTGTGGAAGCCTTCCAGGAAAAACAAATAAAACACAGTTCTTTGGAAATCTGCTGTGAAGCAAGATTCTCATCAGCTGATAAACAAACCCACATCATCACCCCTCCTCTGCGGTGCTTGGAAGTAAGTGTAGAGATTTGCTTAAAATAATTCAATAATTCAATAGAATCACCATAATTAAAAAAATAAAGGAATAAATACAGAAGTGAAAGACACAAAATTGATCGCAGAGGATAAAAGTTATGAATTTTCTATGAAGCTCGTCTCAGCGAATCTCGATCTTTCCTCCCAAAACACATGGACCTTCATAGCTTGATAAGAGAGAACATCTTCAGTATCTTCCTGAAATGTAAAGCACATAAATCAGATATGCAGGCAGTGCTACGACACTGTATCACTGCACAGAATTTTCAAATAATTGCTTCTGCAGCAACCAACCTGATGCACAGTGTGAGTGAGTGACAGACTGTACCTGCAAACAAAACACATGTAATGTCACAAAGTGACTGTTGCTGTAAAGACTGAAGAACTGGAGGAGGAAGAGCAGCTCACCAGGAAAATGACAGTATGTGCAAAGCGCAAAACAGCACAGTAAATCCGAAGCTGTTCCACTGAAAGAGAAAATGAATAATAATAAATTACTTGAGCTGAAACATGGTTATCAGTGTAGAGAAAACCAGGACGTTATAATTAGGGTCTGCTTTACTGTGATGTTCACTCACCCATAGAGCTGCGTAAGGAGTCAAAACTACGCAGGCCTGGATAAAACATATAAAACAATGAGAGTAACAGCAACATTTATTTGTCCTTTAAAAACTTGGAACATTACATTACACATGGTAGTATACGGCATAATTTTTTAGCATGTCTTTTTTTTTGTATTTTAATGCTTCAAAATCTAAAGAGACACATCATAATAGGCTTGCGTAATGCCTCATTGTTGGCCAGATCACTCAGCACAACAAACATTTTTCCTCAGAAGTCATAACTTGAATTGGAGATTAATGTTACGGTGGGTTCCAGTTAAAAGCTAGAAAAACCACAGGAATTTCCTCTCTCTTTCACTCTGCGTAAAGGCTGTCAACAATTAGCCACATTAGAAGCCAACAATAATGCATCTTATGCATATAAACTTGAATGGAGGATGTTCAGGAAAACGAGTGATGCTAAATGAGAGACAGTCAGTCAGAAGTTCATTGCTGTTACTTTTTATCACTTTTTACACATTTCTATAAAGGGAGAGTGGAAATGAATGTAAGTCAGCAAATCCCACTGCTTTAGCAGACTTATAACAAAAACACATAGTACATTGATGCAATAGGATTAGAATATGTTCCCCCCAAAAAATTATATGGAGGACCAAAAGTGGCAATTTTTTTTAAATTTTAAGTAGTAAAAGCAGTCTTGTCTGGAAGATTAATGCTATCCATGTACTGTTACTTATTTCACTTTGTGTTATGCCCTAACATCTATAGAATGGATTTATTTGTTGTTGTTGTCATTTATGTATGTATTCATACAGATCTGGGATAAATAACAAATATTTTTAATGGAATAAAAGCATACTGTCTGCATTTGTGTGTTCTTACAAGCATGGTGATGGTGGCCAGTACTCTGGACATGACGCACATCCTCTTCAGCTGCTTCACTGGCCCCACGAGAAACAATGTGCTGTATGACAAACAAAAAAAACATTCACTTATATTACTGTGCTTTACTCTACAGAAGTATGCAATAAGTGCTGTTGCTTTGATCAGAATTTTTCCATTATGGTGTTTTAGTTCCTACCTGGAAAGAGCAAAAATGTTTCCAAAAGCATAGAGACTAATGAAGAGATCAGTTCCAAAGTGAGGAAGGAAGCTCACATAAACTCCCTGTTAGACACACAGGACAGCATGCATGTATTACAGAGTTTTTACTGTTCTGAAGCTGAATCTTAACTCGGTCTGTCACAATGACAAATTTTACTGGCCGATAAATTGTCCCAGAAATTATCACGATAAAAACAATAATATTGTTGTTTTGAGACTATTTTCAAGTTACATATTAATAATGGCATAATGATTAAGATTTGCCGTCTCAAGTAGGGACAAGATCACCTCTGTAAAAGGGGGCTAAAATATCAATTCAGTTCTGATTAATCACTTACCAGAATTATGGATCCAACTCCCACAAAGTAACAGCAGATGAATCCCTTTAGTCCCCAGTTTGTGGAGGACTCCTTCAGTTTCAGTGGCTTAAGCAAATTACAAGAACGTGACTAAACGTCCAATTAATAACTCAGTTTAAATATTAAAAGGCTAAAGATTTTGTTTTTGTTTTTTACCTTGAAAACCTTCGGTTTATCTTTTTGGTCATTCTCTCGACCCTTAATACAAAAGTGACGAAATAGTCATTTGATAATTCAGCTGGACTCACAGTTTAAGTAGTAAAAGGTAAAGATGTTTCCTTTTTTTCTTCTTTCTTTTTTTACCTGCAAAACCTTCGGTTTATCATGTTGGTCCTTCTTTCGATCCTTAATTGACTGAAACATAGCTGGATCCTTAAAAATTCGAATAAAACGAAGAATACAACTAATTTCTTCAGGAAGGGAAACCTCGCAGGGCTTTTGCACTTCTGGATGGATACAGTAAAACTGAGAATCAGTCAGAGGAGTTGTCAGTATTCACCTGGCGAGGTGTACGGGTTCATGTCACTCATATCCGGGCACAGCAGAGAAGAGGTCTCACTCCAATATATTTTTGTGTACATGCATGTATGTCACTTTGATCAAACAGGTTAAAATATAGTATTTTAATGCATCTTTTGTTATATCATTATCTAATTTTGCCTTTTTTGTTAATACAACTCACTGACGCTTTTTTACATTTCATGATTTTCATTATTTTTTTAACAGGAATACAGACGTTTGTGTTTGAAAGGCTTTGCATATTTTTTTAGTCACTTCGAAATAGAAGATCTTTACAAACTTTTTTGTGAACCAGTCGCATGTGTTTTTTTTATCGCGCCGTGTACACGGTAATAGTCAAATGTTTAGCACAGAGATACAAAATCCGCTACCTCAGCAAGAGTGTGTGAAGTAAAAATTGATTCTGTCAAAATTCAGAAATTCATGCAAAGTCCAAACTTTTTTTTTTTAATTCTGATTAAATAGATTAATTATAGCAGCTCTATTGGTTAATAAAGTTACCTGAAGTGATAACTACTACAAATTTTCAACATGTTACTTGCGATGTTTCTATGTATATTACATTTTACCTTTAACCTAGAGAGTCTAGTAAATTACAAAATAATATATGGAACTGGATTTGGTTGTGTAGTAATATGTGCAACATGAGCCACAAGACTTAACTTTAAAAACAGACGGGTTTTTTATATTGACAATCTGGCTCACTGCCCAGAGCGCAGTCCGTCAGAGGGCGCCACAAGCACACAAAGAAAAAGAAAAGAAAAAGTCTAAGCACTGCTGTACACTATCGTACTGCATTCCAACTAACGTATATTAGTGTTTATTTTAGGGAATATGTGCCACCTCTGATTGTCTGGAGTTCAAAATCTACAAAATACTTAATACTCAAACTTGAACTGGATTATTCAACACAAAGCAAAGATGAGTAAAAACCCAATTTTAGTTTTATGAAATCTTTATTTGTCACAACTGCACCCTAAAATGGGGATTCTTAGTAACCTCAAAAGCACTGTTAAAATCTGGTCCCATTCTCAAAGATTTTGTTTCGATTCGAGTCAAAAAAAAAAAAAAAAAAAGAATAAAAAATTTAACCAAAACAGATTCAGATTATATTAAACAGCAAAACATAAACATTTACGCCGTTTGAAAAAATAAAAAATAAAAAACGGCTTTGGGTTTGGGTTCAAATCACATGCATGCTCTGACGTTCTCGCAAGAGGAAAAAGACACAATAACAGGATGCAAAGTACGTAAAGGCAAACTCTTAAAGTCATACTTTTTTACACAGGAATGAAGATTACTGTTTAATCAACATGTTGGTACAGACATAGATGAAAACAATCCAAATAACAGGTGACAAACTATTGTACAGATAATAAAGATATGGCAGAAATCAGTTTCCTGTCACTGCAAAAATAAATTACAAGTCAGGCTAAAAGTCTGTAAAGCTGATTAAATAAGGCAGAGGAAACAATATATCTCTAAAGTATTCTTATAGCCCTGTTTTGTGTGCCTGTGTGCACCCCTAGTCGTACTGCTGCTGAAAATGAAAGCTTCACATCCCTGATTTGTTTTGGAAATGTCGCACAACAGTCCTCATAAAATCTCATCCTCTGACTCGGCATCCCGCTCCCGGGGCTTCAGAAGTCCCATTTCCATCGGAGGAGTCCTTTTGAGTCTGGAGCGAACCACGCTGAAGAGAAAACAAAAATAAATACCAGTGTGTTTGAGTACTTTGAAGAGGAAATACCATGCAAAGCCCACCCCCACTGGAATTTGCATGGTTCAGACCAAAGCGTTGAAGTTTTACTCTGTATAGATAATAATTGAATGATTTAAAAGGAAGAATTTAAAAGCATGATGTGTCCGCTTTAATCTGGAAGAGTTCCAGGACAATCAAACAGTTCTTCATATATCTAACGAAGCAGGTTCTTACCAGCTGACGGTGCCGTACACCACACCAACGACTAGAATGGCAAAGGCTAAGTGCCAGGAGAAGCACATGGTGATAAACATCATGGTGTTGTGGTCTTTCATGTCCCACACAGTGCCGTTGGAAGGGTACAGCACGAAACCGATCTGTGAGCAAATAGGAAGGTTAGAGTGAGAGGAGCGCCCACTGATCCCACTGATCTGAGCTTCAGCTTATATGGGAACCCAGGCAGATTTATTACCTCCCAGAACCAGCTGCCTTGCAGGAGGGTGAGGGTGCAGCACAACAGGTCCAGGATGATGTTGTCTCTGTGGAAGACCTCCAGGAAGAAAATAAGACTCTCGCCAAAGATGGCGTAGAGCAGGAGCTGATGAACGTGGACATCCAGCATGGTCCGTCCATGGAGGTGGTAGAGGAAGAGGAACCCTGAACAACAGAAAACAGATTTAACTTGATAGAAATAGAAGAAGGAGTTCGACTTTAGGAAATTTGTTACTGTATGAGCTCATGGGGCCCTGAGAACCTCCTGAGAATTTCACATGCCCAGTATACTCTTACGTCCCACTCAATACTGAAAATTACTGAAATGACAGCTTCCTGTCCTTCCAGGGACATATCTGCCATGTTTATGGTTACAGATCAAAAATATTTTTTGCAAAAAAAAAAAAAAAAAAAAAAAAGATCAAGCTCAGCCAGACTGAAAATAAACATGAATTTTCAACGATTGTGAATTGTGTTGAGGTGCTGACTTTGACTGAGCCGTCCTAACACGTGTCTATGCATTAATCCACACCTGGAATCTCAAATTTAAGTTTTTGAGGACACACCTCATTTAAATGAGTATGAAATTTAAGTTCCACAAAATTCTGCTAGCGATTTAATCATTTGACTGTGGTGGTGTGGTCAAGCAGAGACAAATCGAGAAATTGCAAGATACCGTCCTGCTACTCCGCTGTGTCTCTGGCTGCGTATTTAAGGTCACTGTCCAGCTGGATGGTAAAAACCTTCACTCCACCCCTCTCTCAAGACTTTTGCTGTCTCAAAAACATTTCTCACAGAAATGTTTTTCTGTGTGTTTCTAAAGCCATATCCTGCCATCAACAGAAGGTGGGAACATCATGTTCATCGGCGAACAATTTCAATCTTGGAAGTCAGAACGTCTACCCAAGGGAAGAAATGTGACGCTTTTTTGTTTGTTTGTTTCAGAACAGAAGAAGATTAAATAAATTATGGCTACCGAAGAGTCCAGATGTTTCTCTCAGAATTCTGACTTTTCATTCGACAAGATTGAAGTCATAATTCTAAGATTAAAATTACAGTTATTTCCACACAGAGGGACACAGCACATACCTTCGACAAAGAACGCGATCCCCAGCATCAGCTTGTCCAGGGCCACCGGCAAGGCCTTGGTCGTGTGGAGAATCAGAGACACGACGGCGGCCAGGAAGAAGAACAGGTACATGGTTGTGTGCTGCCAGATGTGCAGTTGTTCCCAGTGTTTCTCTGCAAAGTCATACAAACGAAGCATCGGGCCGTTTGCGACATACTGCTCGCAGATCATACCTGGAGAGCGCAAAGGAAGTGTTATCCCACCTGCATTAGGACAATTAAAAAAAAAAAAAAAACATTGTAGAAGAAACAGAGGCCTGCTCACCAGTAACAGAGCAGAAGAGAAAAAAACAGTTTTCAATTATCTCCAGGCGTCGCTGCAAGGTCCTGCTGGCGAGCCGGGTGGAGCCAAAGCTTTTGTTCCTGCGGGTGGTGTGCCAGAGGGAGAACTTTCCCGCCCACCAGATCCCTATTATCAGGAATACGGTCCCGGGGAGAACGTGGCCCTGGAAGCTGCCCATGACCCACAACACCTGCATGACAGCAAACCAGAGCAATCATCGTCCAGATCCCATGGCTGGACTGGATTAGCCTCCTCTCTCTGTGATTTAAGAGAAGTTTGGCAAACATCTCATCTCAGTGCAGCTGTGACAAAGGAGATGATTCTTCTTCATTTGTATTTTACCAAAAACACAAAAGCAGAATGTTGAGAAAGAATTCAAAACAGCAAATTTTACTGGACGATAAACGATAATATTGTTGTTTTGAGACCATTTTCAAGTGATATAACCAAGGGATTCCTTTTGCCTTAAACATCTTTTGGACAGAAATAACTTGTCATTTTGTTTTCCAAAATCCCATAAGCCATCATTTTGGGAAGGCGACGATGTCGGCAACAGGTTAATATTGCAAGTTCACTCAAAGACCAATGAACTTTAATTTTGCGCAGAACACTCCCCACTGGAACTGCGAGGCATTTTAAATATCTAAAATAAAACACAAAAACCAAAAACAATACATAAGAAGGTAATAAAAACCAAGAATAAAATAAACAATGAAGTTTCTAACCAAGATTGTATTAACCATCAGACTGGATATCACGGAGCTCATTTGAATTTAATCTACGACTTTCCTCTGCAATTACCATTTCAAGCCCTTTGATCCAACTCCTCCAGCGTTGCCATGGCTCCGTCTCTGATTTTCATAAAACCATAGCCATCTCCTTCAACACCGCGGTGCCGCCCTCACCTCACGCTGACATTTCAAACAAAATCCCAATAAAACGTGCTGCAGTTTTGCTGAAGCAACGTGATAAAACGTGAGGAAGCTCAAAGAGGGCGAACACTTTCACAAGGAGCTGTACATAATTCAGCGAGACGGGGGAGGCGTGTAATAAAATGAGATGGAAAAAGTGAAGGAGTGGCCGTAATTTGGGTAAACAGCAGCAGAGCAACATCTGCTGGAGAGTAAATTATGTCGGAGGAGAGGGCTTGAACTTTTAATAGCATACAGCCAAACATTATTTATAAAAAGAAAATAAAACCTCCTTACACTGAATGAAATAGCCTAGAGAGGAAAAACACAAGAGAGCACAAAAATACCCCCAAACTCCCCAGCTGTACTCTCCTTTGTGAAGGAAATGACAAAGGGAAGCTTTTGAACATCGACCCCTGATTGAAACAGAGCGTTTGAGATGTTAAATGGAGCTCATCTGTGTGTCAGATGGCTCCTTTCCCTGTGTGAGCTCTTTAGGCAGAGGGAAACCCTTCAGCAGCAGCCATGGCAAAGCCCTTCCTCGCCTCACTGCAGTGTCGCAGGAAGAGCCATCAGAGCCTGGGCGGCCTTAATCACAGAATAAGCAACAACAACGGGAGGCAGCCAGCTGCGGCCGAGATGCTGATTCACTTCAGGAAAACCTGGACATTTGTTGTTGTACTGAGAGCGGCGGCGAAGGGGGTTTATTCACCGATGTAGCCTAAGCTACATCACGGAACGCTGTTAGCATACTGCATTCACCTGCTTAAAGATTTTTTCTATTTTTACTTTTATGCTTAACCCTGGTGACAAAATAGCATACCTTAGTATACTTAAGCATGTTTTAAATATACTGTATTTTTCTGAAGTAAAATATAGTGGACCCACTTTTCAAGTGGGTTCACTTATTAAGATTATACTTAAAGTTTAAAACAAGTACACTTTCAGAAACATGCTTCTAGTACTCTTTTAGAAATTTATTTTTGGTACACTTTCTAAAAGTATATTTTTTTCTAAAATATGCTTTGATTTCTAATTAAATATATCACTAAAGTTATATTTTGGATAATCATTTTAAAAAATACACTTTGCCTGTATTTGTATAAAAGTATATTGTAAATGTACATTTTAAAATTATATTACAGATATATACAAACAATACTTTTCTGAAGTTGTGCTTTTGGTGGTATTTTTAAATAGGTTCTGTGTATATTTTAGTAAACCTTAATAAATCTCAGAATAAATACTTTTCAATAATATTTGTAAGAACTTTGAAAATAGTGCCTAATAATTAGACTCTAAATATGTTGCAATAAAATACTTTCAGTGTTTATGTATGCTACTTTATGCTAACTAGCATGCCTTGCTAGGTGCCTTCATAATCTTTTAGTATTTTGTTAAAAAGGCAAAAGAAAAAACTTACTGTAACGTTAATAGAGGTGAAAAATTAAAACATACCTAACAAACTGGAAATCGAAATGGTGGATAAGTTAAATCCAGCAGCTTCTGCCTCTATATGCATTAAAATAAATTAAATAAGTAACCCAACTACAAAGCAATAGCTCCCAATGAGCAGTTGTCAGCAGTAGACAGCAGTTAATAGCAATTAGCAGCAGTTAGCATAAAATTAAACATAGCTAAAATGGATAACATTAGTAATGCTAGCAGTTAAAAACATATACACGTTTCACGAGGTTTCACATACCTCGTGAAACGCTGTATGTTATCAAATTTGTCTAAAATTTAAGTTAAAATATAATATTTACAAAACACAGAGCTGATTCTAATACATACCAGTCACCAAAAGGAAAGAAAAAAAGGGGAGGTGTCGGTTACCGGTTACTATGCTAACCCCAACTGCCAAGCGCAGCATAACAGAATTAAAAAAAAAAAAAAAAAAAAAAAACAACAAAAAAAA